AAAACTCTTTTTATCAATTCTGTTCATGAAGTTTTAGTGGCTTGTTGTTTTGTCCGTCTTCTTGGATAACTCTGCTGAGATTTTGTGACATCAGTGGAACATTAAGACATTGAAAATGATTGCAAACAGACCCAGTTTAAGGACTTATCAAAACCAAATCTCAATTGCAATGTATTTTAATTGGAAAAAAAAAAAACTTGACAGAAGCAGGTCAGATTATAACTCTGTAAAATCAGGCTGCAATCTACATAATCATCATCATGGCCCCAATCACACAGTATCGGGGGGAGGGGGGTTTGTAAGAGGCAACTTTCCAGTTATTTCTCTATAGTATGTGTTTAGTGCATTGCTCACACACCCTGGGTAGATTCACATTTAGAAGCCAATAGGACCTCATGTTCACAGGGGTTACTCAAGTAAAAAACATTTTACATTTGAATTCAAAGGAACAGATCTGTCAGTTAAATCACAGCAAAATCAAAGTTAGCCAAAAGACAGGGGACTTTGTCGTTGCCCAGCAACAATAAAGCATGGCAAGACGCTCTGTTTCAAGATTGTAGCCTTCAACAAAATAGTCAAAAAAGTCCCTTAAACTGTTTATTTTTTTAAATTACCAATAGTTATTTGTTAATCCTCTTGATTGTAGTATTGGTATGTAAATTCAAGTCCTGGACTGTATCCATGCAAGAGGAAACCTCCCACCTTTTTTGCGGGAGCTCCACAAAGCCTCACCTTTTTGCAACACAGAACACTTCAGCTGCTCTTTTAATCTCACAGCCATATAACTGTTCTATTCTTCAACAGTGAAGTAAAATCCTCTTTGTGCTGGATTGTTATTTGGACTCAACCGATTTTTGGTTCTGTTCTTTAAATGCGTTAAATATTTGTCCTTAATTATAATATTTTGATGAGTGATGCATAGACAACCCTCATGTACCTTTTTGGTACAGCGCCAAGTTTGTATAAAAAAACTAATCTTGTATATTCACCCATACGACTGGCTCTGGCTCTGACTAACAGTATCAAGCAGAAACTCACAGTGTCATGGCAACGTGAGTCTCTGCACGTGTCTTTTTATGCATTAATGTGTGAGTGTGTAGGAGGTTGCAGGCTGATAAGGTGGGCCTTGGAATAGTGAATTTGAAATATGTAATACATTATATTTGTGTGTACGATAATGTTAAGGTTATGGGGTTAAAGTATGACATTGGAAGAATGCCATATGTTCTTATGTCTCATGAAATCAATATTTTGATACATGCAGGCGCGTAGGTGTGAGTATTGACGAAAAAACAGCTGTGTGGTTGGTTAGCATTGTTGTGGGTTTTTTTTAAGTGTGTTTCTTCATGCTAATGGCATAGAAAGGTCCCTTATTGATCCCAAAAGTTGATCAAAGGGTAAAAAAAAAAAGTTACAGAGCAATTTATCAAAACAATCCCTTACTGGGCAGGAAATTCCCTGAAAGTTTTGACAATCTTCTTGTATGAATCAAGTCTTTTATTGAGCCAAGGGATTCTCTGCTTCCATTGTTTCACATTTAAGTATATTTTCCACGGACAGAATAAACAGAGGATATCTCTTATCTCTCAAAATGTTGATGGGAATCGTCCATCATCACATGAAGTCTGGGTGTAAATGAAATCAGGTTTTTGGTTTTGTTTTAAAATGGATTATCTGAAATTCTTAAAGCAATGTCTCTTCCCAGATATTGTGCAAACTAAGACACTGATGAAACATGTAGTGAAACATTAAGACAAATTCACTTACTTATTTTGACTTAACCCTGTACGCTGATGATGTGGTGTCTTACATTGTAGCATAAATAATGTGTATCATCTTACCCTCTAATCAATCACGCAGTCTAGTTGCGTTGTAGAACCTCACTGCACATAACTACAGCCAGCAGCTGCAGAATCATTGGGTTTTATTCACATTCACTCTGATGCACTGCCTTCACTGTAGATTTGATTCCTTGCTCTCTTTGAGTGGCACAAATGACCCTTTGAAATTGCATTGGAGCTTATCCAGAAATGAGATGTGTCAGTAAAGCCCCCTGTTGTCCAGTATAGTTTGTGTCACTCTTTTCTAATAGCCTGTATATTGATTTAAACTCTTACTTGATATTGCAGATAAGTCTGTATTTATGTTGTTATGATAGTAGCACAAAAAAAGACATAATTGCAAGTCCTCCTGCTGCTTTTACACTACTTTGGCAGTTGAAACCCCTAACAAAAGGGAGTATTTCTAGTGGTTGAGATCACGTTTTTACCATTATGTGCCACGTGTGTAAATTAACTCCTGACCATGTCCAGACAGATAACCTCACATTGTCCAGAGTTCATATGTGATATACAACATTAGTCTGGATAATCCAGATGCAGTACTGTGAACACTTTCATCAGAAACATTTTTTTATAGAAACATTTGCTGGCATCTATATTTTAGAGTCTGTAAATAAAAATTAGTTGCACCCCTGCAAAGAGAAATTAATTAATCAGCAAATAATTTGTTCTGCCACTAACGACCCAGAGCATTATGTATTTATGTTTCATCTGAGATTGCTCTTAAAAAAAAAAGCTGGTTTTATTTGCTTACCGCTTATTGTACAAAAATCTAAACTTCTGGGGAGGAAAAACTCCCATGTGAGCCATGACCTTTTAAGATCTATTGATGCATTGATGTGATAACACACCTTATCTTTTTATGCCCCACAACTGCCAATATCAGTTATTGTGTTTGGAGGCAGGGACATGCATGCTTGTTTGCCATTGACTGTATTTTTGTATATTGTTTCAGTTTCCAGTTATTCATTCTGTTTTGTGTCGCCCACTCTCCTTTTTTCTCTGTTATTATTAGTCTTGTTTGTAATCATAAAAATTCCTGTCCATGTTTTTTTAAGCAGACTACATCATCTAGAGTGTGTGGATATTCTTTTATATCTTTCTGGTTTGTTTTCATAGTTTGTGTCTTGTAATTCCAAAGAAAGGTGATCACAATGTAACAGCATAAATTATTTTGAATCAACTATGTTAATTTATGTTTGTGTGTGGTCATTTCTTGTGATGTCAATTCATATGGATGTGATCTGCTGTCGAATATAGTTTCAGTCCAACACCAAGTAATTCCAGAAACCATGATCAGTCTTTACAGAATTTTGCTGACTTTTTCTTAAGATGTCGTGACCTAAAATTGGTACATGCAGCAGCTTTTTTATTATAACATTAAATTACAAATTAACAGCTTTTTATTCTGTGCTGGGCAAGTGTAACACCATTGACAAGAGACAAAGGGATTACAATCTCACTGTAAAAACTCTTTTTCAGAACATCACTTACCCAAACATCAATAACAAGGGCCCTGTTTGGTGAAAAAGACTGAACCTTCAGCATCACAGTCATTTTACATGGACAACTAACAGTCTTCAATACAAATAATCACAAGAAGACAAAGGGCTTTTATCGTTATGGATAGTCTGAAAACACTCTGTAGAAAAATCAAAGGATTTGCTTCAATCAATATGACAACTCATTGCCCTGTCATAATAAACCCAACAACAGAATGAAAAATGGCTGTAACCACCATGATGTCTTTCAACACTTTGTCAACTGCCTTTTTGAAGTCTCCAACTTAGCTTTGTTGGTTATCTGGAGCAATAAGTGATCATATTTTATAAGACTGTGGAGCTGCAGACACTGACTATTGGACAGCCAGTTAGTACAACAAACCAGGGGTGAAGTTGTATTATCATTTAAACCAAAAAGGCATCAACAACACAATCACATCCGAGAGCCTTTATTCAGTGATTGGAATGGGGGCGGCACCTACAGTGGCCACGCCCCTAACTATGCATAACTATGTAATTAAAAGGTGAGTTATAAAATTCCCCTTCCTTGAATTTTGCTTCAATGAAAAATCTGTTGTTTAGGCTTTAGCCATTATTTTCACCAGGCTGTAATTCTTCTACAAAGTTGGCTAATTTAAAATGGGACCAAAAGGGGATGTACCGGCTTTTGGAGCCAGCCTCAAATGGTCGACATAAGAAACAGCACTTTTAGGCAATATTTGCATTGGTTTCATTTCTATGCCTCCAACGTTGCCTCTTCAGAAAAACCCAACAAAATCACACGAATAGTCATATACACAGCAACTGGAAGCAAAGATTTCATGCAATAAACAAATATCCCGTACCATGTACATGGTCGTTTTTAAAAGATACTATTTTCACAGCAAGCGATTACCCAAAAACATAGTCTTAGCCCCCCACCACAGAACTCTAAAGAGATTCATAGGCTGGCACAGAGCCCTGACCTCAGCACCGAACTGCAAGGCAGGCCTCATCGCCTGACATCAGTGCCAAATCTCACTAATGCTGACCAGAGCAAATCCCTGCAACCAGCTTTCAAAATCTGATGGAAATCTAAAACCAGAATAGTGAAGGCTCTTATACCAGCATATTCAAATGCATGATTCAGAAATGAGAATCATGTATGGCTGAAATGCTTGATGTCCACATACTTTTGGCAATGTAATGTGAATCTAAAAGTGGCCTCATTTGACCGTAATCCTGGTTTAAGTTTGAATCACCCTGCACTAAATCGCCCACTCTCTTTTCCCTTTCTCCCACCTGCTCTTTATTCTCTCTCCTCCTCTTTTCCCTCCTTCCTTTTCCTCTCTTTTCATTTCACTCCATCTCTCCCACTCTCTCCTTTATTCCTCTTTCTATCTCTCCCTGTCGCTGCTGCGCTCCCTCTCTTATCCCTCCCCCATCTGTGGGAAGCTGCCGTTGTGCGCATGTCGCCGATGAGTCAATTTGTGGAGGCAGTGCATGCACCAACACACACACCCGCATGCACACACAAACACACATATCCTGTCTCCCACGAAGGCATCTGTTTCAGTCTGTCTCTCTGTGAGATGCAGCATCAACAGAGGAGAGAGGGGGAGACAAACAGGGGGAGGGAGGGAGAAGAGAGGAGGGAGGAATAAGAAAGGAGAAAAGAGAGGAAGGGGATACGGAGCAGAGAGAAACAGGAAAGAGAAGAAGAAGGACAGACATTAAAAAGAGTGAACAGAGGGAAACAACAGAGAAAAAAAGACAAGTGCAGCCAAGAGAGGAGAGGAGGATGCTGCTGCCTGACTTCTGAGGAGTTTGGATTTGGACGTGACAGAGATGCAGCATCCAAATATTTCAGCCTGAGCATCTCCAGGTTGTGTCTGTGTGTGTGTGTGTGTGTGTGTGTGAGAGAGTTTGTTCATGTGTGTGAAGCCATGGCGAGCGCTCAGCCGGGGGTCCATGCATTGAAACTCCAGCCTCCCTCTGTTTCAAACACACTGAAGAACGGAAGCAACTTCATCAAATGGGACGAGGTAAGGAGACTGACTTTCTTTTCCAGCTTAATGTATTAAAGTATTTTTGGATGTTTGGATATGCTACCCAAAGGTCATTAACTTAAGGTCATAACACCATTTATCAGTTTAAGCTTTTCATTTAATATTTACATATATTTTTTGACTGTATTATAAATGTTCTATGGTTAATTATAATCCAATAGAATTTAATTGAAGTGACAGAAAAAGAGGAGGACACATTCCGTTGTCAGATGTGTTTACTTCTCTTTGTTGATTAAGCTTTGACAGTAAGTACCTGTGGATTACAGACTGTGTGTGTGTGTGTGTGTGTGTGTGTGTGTGTGTGTGTGTGTGTGTGTGTGTGTGTGTGTGTGTGTGATAGTTAGAGAAGGATGCAATTGTGGTCAGTTTCATTATTACCACCTGTTGGCTTGGATTCCTTTGGTATTCATTTCATTTTACCTTTATTTATTCTCCAGAAATCATTGAGGGCAAGCCCTTATTTACAATGATGTCGAGAGTACAATTACAATGAATAAAAGACAAAAACAACAAAGACCAATACATAGATTATAAAACCAGAAGAATAATCGGCAAAGCATGCAACTACAGTTAACAAAATTTACACTAATAAGCACAGTGATTTGTGATCAGGTTCTTAAATTTAAATTGATCCATGGTAACCATTGTATTGAGTTTTAATGTGTTTTGTAAAGTGTTCCAGGTGTGTGCAGTGCAAAAGGTAAAGGATGTTTTCCCAATGTAAGTGTTTACTTGTGGGTCCCTCAACATTAGCCAGTCACTTAGAGAAGTGATGTATGCTGTTAGATTACCGTAAGTAAATGCTTTATAAATAAATAGCAGCCAGTAACGGCCACATCTAACTGTTAATGAAGTCCAACCAACTTTGGCGTACAGGATGCAGTGATGAGTAGAATATTTTTCAACAGTGATAAATCCGAGGGCGGAATGATAAACTGGGTCTAATGATTTTAGGGTGGAGGCAGAAACGTGCCTATAAATGACATCTCCCTATTCCAGAACAGACAGGAAGCTGTCTTAAAATATTCGCTTTCAAAACACTAGAGTGAAGTTAGCTTTGTTTCTGTACAAATGTCCAATTTTTTGTCGTAATTTTGTGGTTAATGTGTCAAAGTGAAACTTAAACGAAAAGGATTGATTCAGCCAGATGCCAAGATATTTATACTATACTCTTTCCAAGTTGTTCTACGCAAGTCATTGTCTGTGATATTTCTGGCTCTTGTAACGAGCATGTATTTAGTTTTGTCTGCATTTAGTAATCATTTTAAGTCATAGAGTGCATTTTTCAATTTGTAAAGTGCTTCTTGCAAGGTTTTGACTGCTAAATGTGCAGTCTCTGCAAAACAATACAAAACTGTGTCGTCAGCGTGAAGATTGGCCTTAAAATTTGTAAATACAGATGCAATATTATTAATGTAGATTGTGAACAGCACAGGACCCAACACAGAACCTTGTGGAACCCCTTTTGATAGCTGTAAGTATTCAGAGCGATCAGATTGTACAGTCACACATTGCAATCTATTGGACAGATCATTCTGGAACCATTTAAATGAACAGTTGTCAAAACCAACATCATATAGCCTCTGCAGGAGTATGGTGTGATCAACATTGTCAAAAGCTTTGGTTAGATCAACGAAGAGGGCAGCACAGTATTCCCTTGATTAATATTTGATGCAATATTATTTATGACTAAGGTAATTGCTGATATGGTGCTGTGTCTTTCTCTGAAACCAGACTCGTGAGGATTTAATACAGAATTTCTTGAAAGGAAAGATTTTAGTTGATTATTGACTAATGACTCCAGGATTTTAGAGAGGTTAGACGGTTTGGAAATAGGCTGGTAGTTGTTGAGTTTGTTTTTATCGCCGCCCTTATGCAGAGGGACGACATGTGCTGACTTCCAGACCTGAGGTACAACTCCAGTAGTAATTGAAAGATTAAATGCATTGACTCTTCAACATGTGTGAGTGTGTGTGGATGTGTGGAGATCTGTGTGTGTGTGTGTGTGTGTGTGTGTGTGTGTTTTGTCAGTGAGTGTGTGTGGGTTTGTGTAGTCAATTCGGTAAGACTCACACACGCAGAACTCCTCTGATGCTGTAATGTGCACATTCAAACATATAAATAGGTATAAGTCGAGTTAAGTTTGTGTGGATTTATTCATCATCCAGCATTTGCAGAGTGTGTACTTGTGTGCCTGTGCGTGTGCTGGTATGCTAAAGTGTTGTCCCTGGCTATGAGAAATGTGCGGTCCTGTTGTCATGGTAACTGGCATGGTTACCACCACCTAAACAGATAGGATATGTGTTAGAAAGAATGGATGTTTGTTTGGTTGTGTGTGTGTGTGTGTGTGTGTGTGTGTGTGTGTGTGTGTGTGTGTGTGTGTGTGTGTGTGTGTGAGAGTGTGTGCGTGCGTTTGTGTGTGTCTTAGTCAATATATCTGCCCATGTAATGTCATGAATCATACTCAAGGAAGAGCTAATACAATACATTATTAAATCTATAAATCATAACTGAGCCCTGTGTGCGTTTTGTGTGTCTGTTTTGATATTTGAATTTCTTCAGCATGTTGAGCTGAGCTTTAAGAAAAAATTCGTTGCTATGCCAACAAGTGACAACCAGGGATCTAGTTAACCATCTTCAGTGTTTTCTTCTACCTTTTCTTTTGAATGCAGGCTGCTCTGTCACAAGGAAAGCAGTGAAGACTCCAGAATCCATAACCAAAAAAGTCTTAAAAGAAATATAGTCATAAATGACTGAACAATGAATGCACACATATTTTTTTAGACAATTACCTGACTCAGAGTGAAGATTTGCAGGAGTGAATGTTTCATAGGAAATAAGAAATCTCATAATGTATAGAGACAATGTAGAGTAGGAAATCGGGAGAGTTTTTTTTATAATTTGCTAGGCTGTGTTATCAATGGCTCTAACTGTTTTAATTTGTAATAAGCTCATAGAAATCACATCTTAAGACTTCTGATTGGCTGCCAAGATTTAAATTAAGTCAACTCACTACCATCTTAAATGATATACATTTGTTATGACATATTATATAATTTTGCTAAAGGCCCACTGTATTGTAGTGTAGCAGCCACTCTGTTGAGTACATTTCATATAGTGCAAAAGCTTTTCAAGTGGAAAAACATCAGGACAGCTGCACCGCCACATACACCTGCAACCAATTACAAACTGTCATGGTGGGTTACTATAGCAACAGGGACAATAGTTGAAAGCCATGACAACTGGCAGAACTTTAGTCTGTACCATCACGGTGTTCAATACCATTCCAATTCGTTCACTCGCTCACAGGTTCCTGTATAGTGAGCAGATAAAAGAGGTGTCTGGGTATTAAATACAAAAGAACATTTGATTTTAAACATTACCATGAGATGTAATGTTTTCTATTTTAAGGCTTGTTTTTTTCTAAATTATATATTGTTCTAAGGTTTTCCCCTTTTTCTTAAGGATCTGTCGACTGTGACCCCAGTGACTCTACATGTGGACCAACATGGATTTTACCTCTACTGGACAGATCAAAATAAGGTTAACACACACACACACACACACAAATGAACAGATTCACAGAAACACACACACATAACACACACACATACATTGTCCTGATATGGCCTCAACATGTAGGTCCATATTAGCCTGATGATGAGGAACAAATTTAGCATCATGCTAAAAGTGAAGTTAATTAATTCAGTCCTAATTTGCATCATCAATATTCAGACTTAAAAAGTGAAGTCATCAAATTGAGACGAGGTCAGAGTCTGATCACTAATTAGTTAACACCTCTCAAATGTATGTCTTTATGTAACTCTTTACCTAACTAAACAATTGAAAGGTAGTTTATTTATTTATTTAAAATGTATTTAACCAGGGAAAAAACTCATTGAGATCAATAAACTCATATACAAGAGTGTCCTGACCAAGACATGCAGCAGTACATTTCACAAGTTACAGATAATAAAACACAGAGCAATTACAAACACTGGTCAACATATCAAAGATATTTGTCAAACATGTACAACCCGACACATCGTCCTCAAATGCCTTTCATCTACTTTTAAAGAGACCAGCCCCCCAAGACCAAAATCCTCCTGCAAAAAAGCTTCCAGGCCGCAGGAGCAGCATACCTGAAACTCCTTTCCCAGTTTTGGAAAAAAACTTCACTTTTGGGACAGATAACAAGAATACATTTTGAGACTAGGTCACAGAGCAAAGACTGTAGCTTCCAGCAATTTTCAGATTAATTAAATTACACAACTATGAGGAAGAAGGTTAAAGGGATACTTCACTCATTTGCATTAGGCTTTGTATCCTTAGAAACCTGGTAGTATTTTTGAATGGTTGTGCATCCCGCCCTCATTTTCCCCTGAGACGGGAAAGCTGTGTATTTCTTGTCTGAAAAGGAGCCTCCGATGACGCAAAAATCGTAATTTTGCGTCACTGGAGGTTGCTTTGAATACATCGCAGGAAACTACACTACACTACAGGAAAAATCCATACACATCAAAATATGCATTCATAGAAGACCAACATACTAAATTGCTATTACATTGTCTGTTTTTTTTTTCTCATAAATTTAAGCATTTTTCGTTGACTTGTGGTTTATTGTATATATAAGGTAAACGAGTAGGTGCATAACTACTATATGTTCTTTTAATATGCTATAAACACAATTACAAGCATAAATCACAATAAAGGACTGAAGAATCAATTGAAAAGGTTGAGAAAGAGCAAGCATGCGACTCTGGATTGTCACGCACACGAGTATGCACGCACTTACACACAAGCACACACAAGTTCTCTCCAGGTGGGCTTAAACCCTCAGCAGGACACAGGATGAAGCATTTACCTCATAGATATTAGCTCACTGTGTGTGTGTGTGTGTGTGTGTGTGTGTGTGTGTGTGTGTGTGTGTGTGTGTGTGTGTGTGTGTGTGTGTGTGTGTGTGTGTGTGCGTGTGTGTGCGTGCGTGTGCGTGCGTGTGTGTGCGTGTTTGTGTGTGTTTGTGTGTGTTTATGCATGCATATGCATATGTGTGCAAATCAGGGTGCGCACAGGCGTTCAACCTGCACCTTTGTGTGTGTTTTCCTTAGGATACAGAGTTGTTGGACCTCACCCTTGTGAAAGATGTCAGAACAGGAAGAAGCACCAAAGCGCCCAAGGTACTCTTCTTCATCTTTCACCTTTTATGTATACAGGTCTTTGCCTTTTCATGCCAGCAATACCTCCCCCTTCAGAGACCTGTTTATTCTCGTCAACTGCCTCTCTGTGACCTCTCAGTAACCTCTCACTCAGTGTGATTCATTCATGCAGAAAAACTGATGTTTTAATCATACAGGTTTCAGTTTTGTTACATATTTTGCTTCTGTAATAGTGAGTTTGGCTTTACCTCTCCTTTCTTGTACGTTTTGTCATTTTACTTCCTTTTTTACTTTGTAAGTAAAAAAGCAGTTTTTCTGCTTTTATTAATATTTTTTGCCTCGTTGAATGCTAAATGTAACATCACCATTATGTGTGATCCCTCTACCTCCAGATAGCTGAAATATACAGCGTAAAAGTACATTGTTTTAAACACATGTGTTTTTGAATGATTTTCAATCTCCAATAATCTCCTTGCTCTACTCCAGTACTTCTGCATTTATTTGTCGAACAGAAATTGGTGTTGGTTTTTATTTATTATCTATTTTTAGGAGAGGAATAAAGTGATTGTTATCTAACCCAAAACCTGCAAAATGCAAGCGGATAAACAGAAGCGTAAAAAAATATATAGGCTACAGTTATATATGTAAAAAAGGGGCATATATAAAAAAAAACTGTAAGCTTTTACTACCAATAAACATAGTACTAAATGCATCATTAACTATATAAACAACATAGTTAATGCATATCTTTCAGATAACAAAAATACAGACAAAGATGTTTAAAAAACTGCTCCAAACCCCTCATTCATTTCTTCCATGTGACTTTAGTGTGGCTCTGTTTCAGCTTGCAGCCTTAACACTGTGTTGCTCGATAGGAGGCCAAGCTGCGGGAGCTGCTTGACATTGGAAACCTGGTTGGACGGCTTGAGAACCGCATGGTAACAGTGGTTACGGCTTCCGACCTCGTAAACGTCAACCAGCTTAACTTCATCGCATCGCAGGAGGATGAAGCTAAGGTACAGAAGTCATTTCATGTCATGAATAATAATGATGGTGATGATGATGATGATGATGATGATGATGATGAAGGCTCTGATTTCGGTAGGAGTGGTGTGAGGAGCTGTTTTCTCTGTCTTCCAACCTGCTGAGCCACAATCTCAACAGAGACCACAGTCTACTGAAAGCGTGAGTAAACACCCACACATGCACTTACATACATGCACACTTTATATTCAATTAATTTCAGGATATTTTAATTGATTGTCTTGATAATTACACACAAAAGGGTGACGCATAGTCTTTTTTTCTTCTCAGTTAATAGCCAGTGAACTGTCTGCTGAAATGTCAGTTTGAGTGTTGGTGAAGCAAAGGACTAGAGTCAGACAGCTGGAGAGTTCCAGTCAAAGACAAGTATTTTTTCATTATGGAATCGTATCATAACGTATCGTATCATATCGTAAATACTTCGTCTCTGCTGTATTGGGTTCACTGCAGTGAGTATAAGCTCAATCTGAGCATTACAATAATTTCATGCAGGGATGGCATATCGCTTCTGCGTGCAGAAGGATCAAATTTTAGTCCAGCTCTGACCCCAGCCCAGTGGGGGGAAAAAGGCCAATCAACGGTATAAATTGCACAGCTAGATGTGCAGATGCACCGGGCTTTTACAGGGAAAGTAAGATGACAATCCATAAAATATACAACAAACTTAAACTTCTTTTCATTTAACTAGCAAAAGGGGTGGAGCACGCTGTAAACTGATGGAGCCAGCACTTCATATACTCCATGTGCTACATATTGTTTGAATAGAGTCGTAACCTTGAACTTTCCTCTTTCTGTTTCAGATACGTCAGGTTAAGTCTCCAGCCGAATACAGAGGGGAGAATTCCTGTCAAGAAGTGAGCTTCCGATTATTATTACCTTCCTTCTCTTTAATCAATGGTTCTGTCGGTGGTAACTTTGTGGCACATGTTACAGTAGATGATTGAGCATGTGAGAAAATAGCTCCTCAAAGTCTGCAGAGACATGCACAAACTCAAACTTTGCTCTTTTCTGTCCCTTGCTTCCAAAAATACACTTAATTCCATGTGCACTTGGGAAAGCAAAAACAGGGACAGGATTCATGAAGGTGCTTAATTCAGCACTGACCTGGTAATCAACCACTGCCAGGGCTGGAGATAATACGAAGGGAAGCTTTATTTTAGAAGGAAACAGGGGCTGAATTAAGGCCAGCTCATAATCCTGGAAGTCTAGGATGAAGATGTTACGTTTTTAAGAATGCCATGATGGTGTGAATGTGTGGCGAGTCACAGAATTGGCTTTTGGGAAGGTTGAGGGCATGTTCTATTGAGCTAGAATTTGTTTCAGGGAAATGTTTGGACATCAGGCGGTGGGGAAGGTGAGAGATTTATAAAAAGCTGGAGGAGGACATTTGGTTGAGTTAGGAAGGGAACACTTGTAGGGGTTTATCAGAGGGTTATTTACAGAAGCCTAAACTGCAGGTTTCAAGTTGGTGATGTGTTGGGCTAGGACACTAATTAATAACAGTGGGATCTTGTGTCTTTTGCAGCATTGTTCGACTGTTTTCCTCCGACAGAAAGAGGGTGGAGAATTCCCTGGAGAGCTGTAAACTACCCTATGCACGGGTAAACACTTTAATTTGATTTTTTAATATGATACTAGCAGTTAACAGTAGCTACATATTTGAGTTTAACCAGTTAGAATATGCCATGAACATAATTCTCTTTGGATAACTACACATGTATTAAACACACACTAGCCCTTTTTTATGGCTGTAGATGCTTGTATCTGTTATTTGAATGACTCACAGTGTAGAGGTGAAATTAGCCCAAATGTATCGGGGGGTCAGCAAGTTCCGCAGCTTCTGAAAAGTAGAAATGCAGGATACAGATTCTCAGCTCACTCACAAAGTATTTGTTTCTAATGAAGAAAATTGTGGGAAAGTATAAACGATGAGGATAAACTGTTGATTTTTTCAGGTGTTTTTTGTACAACAAGAAGGGAATTAAGCAAGAGGACATTAAAAATGTGGCTGTGTTGATTCCTGTTCCATATTTGTTGCAGGGTGACAGCATCAAACTGGAGGACTTCACACTTGAAGTCTACAAGAGCTTTTTGGAAAGTCTGTGTCCTCGTCCAGAGCTCAGCAGCAGCTTTAAACTGCAGTAAGTACTGTATTCAGAAACGGACAAAAATGGTTTGTCAGTTTTTTCTTTAAGGTAATTCTTTGAGAAATGCTCAATAATGACGTGTGTCCTATTTTTAACAGAGATATGTTTAAAGAGAAAGGCTGTTTATTTACCACTTGATTAATGTCATTGGTACTTCTTGTATTACTTAGTCTAAAGAGATGTATCAAAAAACAGCCATCTGAACTTCTACTCGACAACACTTAAAAAAAACAAAAAAGCGATGAGGATTTTGATGATGGAAGACAGAGCAGCAAATCATCCAAATGACTTCATCAGGGGGAGTGATTATTTCAGCTCTTATTCAAATGAAAAATATTTTTCTTTTGGGAAATAAAAAAGGTCTATCTATATATAATAAAATGTACGTAATGGGTGTAGAGAATAGATTTTGATTTCATGTGCTACTAATGCAAAGGTTTTGGTGGTAAACACATGAATTTAACATTATCGTGATGGTTGAGTGATAGCTCCTTCAGGGAATACGGAAATCTTGATGCATTATTAAAAAATGACGATTTAACATATTTCACGTGACAATTGTACCACCTAGAAGAATAATCACTTGTGATCTATCTTGAGTAACCCTTTATTTCCACTGAGCAATTAACTTGTAGTTTAATCAGAGAAGAAAGCAAAGCATATGTGAAAATAGCGAGACAAAACCTGTGAAGACATTGCACCGACAGTGGACACCATAAATTCTAAAGGATCATGTACAATATTTTGAGGGATGTGACCTTTAACCTCTGGCCTGCCTCTGTTGTCATTGTGTAGAGGAGGGGATGGAAGGAAGATGTCAGTTGATCAGATGACAGAGTTCATCAACAACAGGCAGAGAGACCCGAGGCTCAACGAAATCCTCTACCCACCTCTACGTCCCGCACAGACAAAGGCTCTGATGGAGAGGTACCAGCATGACCTGGAACAGCTGAATCAAGGTGCGCACACACGTTTGCAAAATGTTCTTTTGAATGTTAACATGGGCTGTTACAGAAATACTCCTCTAGCTTCACCCACATCCCCCTAGAGTGTAAACGGCTAAAATAAGAACGTAAGGAGTTCACATTTGTGTTGGATACTGCCAAAAAAAAAAAAATGGCACCTACTTCAGATCCAGTTATGCCTCTAGGACCAGTTCTTTTTTGGTATTTTTCCTACTGGTTGGATAAAAAATAATTTGTATCTGTATTTCTATTTGTATGTGTGAATGTGTTATTTTAGTCATAAGTCAATTTAGTCAATTTGTCATAAATCATTTTTACATAAATATCTTTCTGGATTTTATTTTATTTTTCAATTAATGGGATCAATCATGTGTCTCACATTTTTATATATTAAAAGAAAACCTTGAATGATTTAACTGTTCAACAAACAGTACAATCTGATCTAATCTTTCATCTGATATGTGCATGTGATATATGCAAGAGGATCGTTTGCATTTGCATTTGCATTTTGCAGACCATCAATGTAGGTGAAAGCACTTACATCATCAAAATTTAACAACATATAGTTTGCATTTAGTAGTAGAGGAGGTTGTTATATAGAAGTTAATATGGAATACATATAATAATAAATGAAAAATAAAGGCAATGTGATTGTGTGTGTGTGTGTGTGTGTGTGTGTGTGTGTGTGTGTGTGTGTGTAGGCATCATCTCCCTACAGGCTTTCTCCAGTTATCTGTCCAGTGATGAGAACGGAGTCATCCCACCTGAGAAATTGGATCAGTCTGAAGACATGAGCTTCCCCTTGTCTCAGTACTTCATCAACTCTTCACATAATACATATCTGACAGGTACACAAACATGCACACACACAACTAACTTTTAAAGTAAAACAATCGTAACAAATGTAATAATTGTGTTTATAATTCCAGACAAGAATCAGTGTAATCTGCCATAATTTCTTTTTTTTCCGTCTTTGTGTGTCTCAGCGGGTCAGCTGGCAGGGAGCTCCTCAGTAGAGATGTACCGGCAGGTTCTCCTGGCCGGGTGTCGCTGTGTAGAACTGGACGTGTGGAAAGGTCGGACTGCTGAGGAGGAACCTGTAATCACCCATGGCTTCACCATGACATCAGAAATCCCTTTTAAGGTGAGTAGACATTGTCGTGTCCTGACCTGTCCTTATAGCTGCTGGGTAATTTTTTTAATTGTTTTATGGTGCAGCTGAACAATGTCTTCTCAGTAACACATGTTTGAGTTGAGTTGATCACAATGTAGTTTCTTTGTCTGCTGGAAAATGCTATAGCCAGGCTGTCAGCAGTTCTCTGTTGATCGTCACTGTGTGGGCCCTTGTGTAGTTTTGAAGTTGAATACAAGATTTTTGATCTTCCTGAGGTGCTTTGGTGCCTGATGAGGTTTGAGGCACTTTCTTTTTTAGTTGTTATTGTTCCAATTGCTGGAATATAAAGCCACTATGAAAATAAAGTATTTTTCAAAATAAGCATGTATCAAATTAAAATGTTGAGGCTTTAGCGTGTTTTTTTAAATCACTTTTGTCTTGCTCTGATTTTCCCCTACATGAACACGTCCGCCCCAACTATATATAAATACTTGTTTGAGAGATTCACTTGTTAGAGAGTGAAGTTTATAATTCCAAAAATATATCTAAAACGCTCACTTAGTTTTGCTTACAATTAATCACTTTCACAAATGTCTGTCCCTCCCCCACGATGAGAAGAACCAACCAGCTGGCTAACAGCAATGGGTTGTCACCATGTTTGTGTTTGGATGTTTTCACATGTTTTCACATTGGGCTGTTTTCACGTTGGGCTGTATATTAACCTGCAGAAGGCTGTTGATACTTTAGATCACAGACAATTATTGAAAAAATTGGAGAAGTATGGGATACGAGGTATCGCATATTCTTGGCTGGAAAGTTATTTTGAAAGTAGACCGGAGTGTGTACAAATAAATGATACTGTGTCAGGATTTATGAGGGTTACCCCAGGCATTTAATGCAAAAAAATGTATTAAAAGGAGATGTGTTTCAGTTGTTGGGGTTAAATTATGGAATGATGCCGATATGAATTTAAAAATTATTATTATTATTCTAAAAATAATTATTTGCTTCTGCCTAAGTTTTTTCAGTCACTACATAATACATGACTGTTGACTATGTTTGAATTGTCTGTATTGTTTAAAAAATATTGTATATGTGTAAGGGCTTAATAAAATACTCAATGTCATTTACAAGGAACTTCGTAGCTTCCTGAAAATATGTCATGAAAAAGCTGAAAACACTTTTTCTCCTACACATTTCTTGAATAATGTCTGTGGAGGTGAGTTTTGCTGCTTTCAAATGTACATGTTTACAACGGGATCTCCTGTTCGCAGTCACAAAGTGAGCGAATGCAGCTGGAAGGCAACCTTAATATGACCACCTAAAGTTTCTATACTAATTTAATTAATTTATTTGATGTATTTTTCAGGAAGTGATTGAAGCTATTGCAGAATGCGCCTTCAAGACCTCACCTTTCCCTGTCATACTCTCCTTTGAAAACCATGTGGACTCGTAAGGATCTGTCATTATTTATCAGTAGATATATGTGTCAGTTAACACTTTTACAAATATATCATAATGTATGATATCTATCTATCTATCTATCTATCTATCAGTTTAAAGCAACAGGCTAAGATGGCTGAATACTGTCGGTCCATTTTCGGTGAAGCGCTGTTGATTGACCCTCTGGAGAAATACCCTGTAAGTAACACAAAACATAACATATTGATAAACAGCTGGACAATATCAAATTTTAAATTCTTAGTATAACTAGAAATTGTCCCCTTTAACTGTGTGTGTGTGTGTGTGTGTGTGTGTGTGTTTGTAGCTGGAGTCGGGCGTCCCCCTGCCCAGTCCTCAGGAGCTGATGGGAAAAATCATCATTAAAAACAAGAAATCACACAAACCCTCCAATAACACAGACACTAAAAGGCTGATCGACCAACCTGCCAATCAAACCAGCGAACCACTGTCGCCTAGCAACATCACAGGAGGTAAGAAACAAAGAAATGAGGATGTGTTCAGCTGTGACAAATTGACATTGTTTACATCAAAATACAATACAAAATATAATGACTACATGGTTCTTTGGTTTACAGAACTCAAATGGCTGAAATGAATTCATGCCAAAGTTTTATCAGCATTTTACTTCATTAAACTAAACTAAACTTACTTTATAAAACTTTTAATACATATTTAGCTAAAAACAACATCTATGAAAGTTAAATCCCAGAAATCCTAGAAGTGAAATCACACTGTATGGTCATATTACATCATTGTTTGTGATTGGAAGTCTCCTTACAAGTGAACAACTCCTTTACTCAGCCACAAGCTCTGTCCTCATTTCGGACAGGCATCATATCTGCTCCTTCATGCGCTCACTGCTGTTCTTGATTTTTTTCTGGGCCTCATCAGGGATGTGTCAATAAGGAGCAGACCTCCCAAAAGAGATCTGAAGCTCAGAGCAGAGATTAAACAGAAGGTGCAGGGGGAAATTAAGAGCCTTATTGAAACTTTGATGTGCAAATCTTGAAAACTGGTCTGGGAGTGCGGCCTGCACGGTACACAAAGAGCAGAGTGGTTGCAGTGCTGAAGGACATACACACACTCTGACCATGACCCTGCAGGCAGTGAATGCTTGAGTGGGCTGGATAATCACAGACTGAGTTCTTTAAGAAGCGAGTTGTTAAAAAAAAAGCTACATCCCTCTGTTTGGCTGTTAGTCTGATTTATTTCTGCTGTTTTTTAATAAATCGGGGCACTGATATGTGGTTGCATGAAGTCTCCCAAATAAATCTTTGTGTATTTATTAAAGCTTCAGGGTAACACTCTTTATTATTATGTATATGTATGTTTAGTATTATGATCTGACATTGTTGTATCACAGTATCAGCTGGGGCCTGTTTCTTAAAGAAAGTTCAACAAACCCTCAGTCTAACCCTGAGCTCTGAGTTGATTTACGCTCAGGTCGGAAACTCTGAGTTTTCGGTTCCAAATCAGCAGATTTGAATTTGTTAAATCAACTCTAGGTCCACTCGGTGTTCAGCGCGTGCACCACAATGATAAAAAGCCAACATGAATGGAGCCCCTATTCTACGATTCACCATGGCAACAGGTGACAAAAAAGAGATCCTCCTACTTTAACCATCTCGAAATATAACCTATCTTCATGCGGACATACGACGAATATGAACAGGTTTTAAGAAGGGAAAAAAAGGAACACTGCTGCAGCGCATCTCCTGACGTTAATGTAGCCTCTTATCATGAAGCCCCTTCATTACAAGGCTACACTAAAAAATATGCCATGGTCGATAAAATAGTTTGTTTTATACGTTGTAGTATTGCCTACCTAACATACCTTATTAAAACAACCTGGATTTCTATTCAGACAACAAGTGAATCTTCACTAGCATACGGACTTATTGAAAGAATGAGGAAATGAAATAGCGTTTCTGGCTCTGAAAGAGGGAGGAGACCGAGAGAAACTTGGGGTTCACTGAAGAAAACCTGCTCCTGACCAGGTTAGGTTCACAGACTCAGTTGCCATAGTAACTGACTCCCTCAGGAATGGGCTTGAGTTACCCCTCTTTTTTGGGTTTGAGTGACCTCCCCCTCTGAAACGGGAGTGTCCCTCATTTCAGGGTTAACGGACTCAGAGTTTGCACGAAACCTTCTTTCAGAAACGGGCCCCTGACCACTCAGGCTTGAGTTGTTTACTGATATTCTTCTGCACCAATATTTGGGGAGAAAAAAAGGAGGAAGAAGAGATTGAGGGACGAGGATCTTGAGACTTGTTTAACTTTAATTTTAACAGAGATGGAGGCTGAGAGTGAGGAAGATGATGATGATGATGACGATGATGGTAAAAAGGTCAGTGGTGACGTCACTGTTGTCGCCATTTGTAGTTTGTTTATTCTGTTCGTTCTTTGTTCCATTGTCATTGTTCTTCATGTAAACGTTAAATGTTACTGATGTTGGTGGTTGTCCTGCGTTGATGCTTCTACTGTTGTTTGTGCAGCGTGTTTGATTAGTTCTCTTTTTTGTTGTTGTTATTGTTGTTCCTTTTGTTGATTCATATTGTTTAAAAACAATAAATTAAGAGAAAAAAAAACATTTACAATGTGCCAACTGGTTTGGAGATAAAGTGCAAGTGAGTTGTGATCACAAATTACAATTCAAAAACACAGCCACTGTCCAATTGTCCCACATTTTTTGTCTTTTATGATCGAGCCAAAGGCTTCAGGTGAAATGAGATCTGCCATTTTCAAGTCATTTTGGAGAAAGTTTCATGCAGAGGGAGCAGCGAAACTAAACGCTCAGTGCAGACACAATCACATCACAGGAATGCACGGCATAGTGGGACTTCTATATAGGCCGATATCTTTCTTAGGTCTATGTTCGATCTGTAGAGAGAGATAGACGCATGTATTGTGTTGATCCCTCAAATGCAGTTATCAAACACACCCATGTACGTACATCACTGCTTGATACTCTGGAGGGGGATAATGCTTGTTGTAATCCATAAAGCACACTCTGCTGGTGAAGACAACTGCTAGGGTAATTCAATGATACTCTAATTAAATTATATATAACTGGTGAATTAATCTAGTAATATTGGCGCATATCTGTGATAAAATTAGCCAATATCGATAGTCACTGGATATGCTAATATCGGCCGATATTATCGGCTCGCCAATTAATCGGTTGGGCTCTTGTTGTTGCTGTTTTTTATTGCAAATGTCTCTTAATTTTTTGTTCAATGGAGTTAGAGTTAACAAAAATGTCTAATGACTACTCATTGATCTCGTTTAATGTTATTGGATTCACAATGGACAGGGACAACTCCAGGGATGCCTTTGAACAAGAGATGTTCCCTGCTTTACTTTGTACCTGTACTGCACATACTGCAGTAGTACAGAACATTTACTGTGCATACAGTATGCAAACAGTTAAGTAAGAATGTAAGTTTTATTTACTGTATATAGCACCTTTCAAGAGCAGACGTCACAAAGTGCTTCACAATAAATAAATAAAAACAGAGATAATAAAAACAGACAGTCACATTAAATTAAATACAGACAGATCAAACAAAGGCATGTCTGAACAGATGGGTCTTTCTCTGCTTTTTAAAAGTTTCCACAGAGGTCAAGGCTCTCAGTTCTGGGGGAAGACAGTTCCAAAATGTAGGTGCCACAACCTCAAAGGCACAGTTTCCTTTTGTTTTTAGCCTCGTGTGAGGAACCGCCAGCAGACCCTGGTCAGAGGACCTAAGGGACCTGCTGGTGTTATAAGGCCTCAGCAGCTCAGTGACATAAGCCGAGGCTTGACCAGGCAAGGCTCTAAACACAAAGAGCTTTGAACTGGATTCTGAAACTGACGGGGAGCCAGTGTAAAGCCTTCAGGATATATGTCACGTGAGACCCTTTGGGATGAACTTGTCAAACGCTTAGGAGCAGCATTTTGGACAACTTGTAGGCGGTTCACAGAACTGACACTAAGACATGTAAACAGAGAATTACAATAATCAAGCCTTGATGAAACAAAAGCATGAACAATCATCTGTAGCTCAACTCTGGACACAACCGGTCTGAGTTTAGCTATATTTCTTAGATGGTAAAAGGAGGAGCGGACCAAACTGGTCACATGCTGGTCTAGACTCAAAGCCTTACCCATTTGGACCCTAAATTACGGCAGGGCAGCGTAAGACATGTTACTTCTTCCTAATGTTGCCCTGCACACTCATTCATTGTGTACATACAAATGCTTCAGTATCACCTCTTTCTGTGCTTTTTTGACAGGAGAGTCCAAGTGACTTCAAATTTTAAAAAATCGTTACTTGTCCTCGGGAGGCAATTCAAAAGCACATATCAGTAGCATGTCGACAGAAATAAGGAGAAGCTAAGACAGTGTAAGGTAGACTACATATACAATATTAAATACCAAAATTAAAAATAGATAAATTAGAATAAAGATAGACGTGGACAGTGATCGGACTAATACTGAGAGGCAAATGTAAACAGAGAGCTATGCATGTAGACGAAAACTGACTGGGTCAAGTGATAATCGTGCAATGGGAAATAAATGTACAATCAGAGCTGTACTTAACTCCTGCTACTCAAGCGGATTGTGGGTCAGCCAAACCTGCTAACAGGTCTCGCATACTGCAATGTGACCAGATGTGATAGCACATCCTGGTATTTTTGCATATTGCATTTCACATTTTTGTACAGGGCCACATTGATATCAAACAGCCAAGACAGATTTTAAGGGTGCTAGTTCTTGTCACTCAGGGCTAAAAACTCAGGAGAACATGTGTGTGTGTGCTCTGTGTACACATTGTTGCATTGAACTGACAACTGACGTTTCCTCCCCAACATTCACCCAGGACAACCAGTAAACCCAGCACCCTGATATAAATATGTTTGACTGTATTCTGGTGGTTTGTTTCAGGGCTCAGCGGAGCGGGAGGCAGTGTCCACAGAGGAAATGTCCATTCTGGTCAACTACGTCCAGCCAACCAAGTTCAACTCCTTCGAAGCCTCAAAGAGTAAGAGAAGCTGCACAGAACCACTTGACACTATCCTTCAGATTTAAATGATTATTTATCTTTCTGCAAAAACATTCTAAGATCAGTTATGGAAATTCCCTCAATTTCATCTCACACCTTAGCTCTTTCTTTGAGGAGCAACATTTCATGTCGAGGAGACCCTCTGACGGGCTCTGACATTGTAAAACAACAGGATTTTGGAAAATCATAATTTTCTTCCTGAACCATTGTTTTTAAGCTTTAATTTCATGACAACATACAACTTTATACACAAAATCCATAACAAAATGATAGAACCTGATGTTTTGATATAATTAAACTTCCCGGTTGTTTACAAAAGTACAGCTGAAGAAAAAGATTAAATTAAACATTCAACTAGTTAGTTGATAAAAAATCTTCTCAAATGTGAACATTCACTCTGTGTTCTCAGTCACTGTGACAGCATTCTCCCTAATTCCCTAATAATTCCAAACTAAAATAATCCATACATTAATGCAAGGATTAAGCAGCAGATTGACCCATAATGGAAAAAAAAAACATTACACACCGTCCTTTACTAAATTGTTAAAATATGCTCAACCTTTTTCAGAGTTCATCTCCACATTTAACATTAAAGGTCACATATTATCCTCCTTTTCAACCAGTTTAAATAAGTCTCAGAGTTCCCCAAAACATGTCTGGGAAGTTTCTTGCAAAAAATCCACTCTGATCCTCTATTTTATCATGCCTATAAATGCCTCTATTTCAGCCCTGCTCAGAACAGGTTTTTTCTGTGTCTATAGCTTTAAATGGAAGTGATCTGTGTTCGACGCGCCCCTCTCTTGAAGGGCTTGGGTGGCTCAGGCTTTCTAGCACCATGCCCTGTTGTTTACAGTGGAAGGGTAGACTCAGAGTACACAACAAACTCCTAGCTTTGGGAGTGTCAACCACTTGGGGGAGGGGTTACTACCATTTGTGATGTCATAAAGGGAAGATCTCCAAGTGGCCTGTTTGAGCACACATTTTCTGAAAAGTGGAGCAGGGAAAAGACAGAGAGGATGGACTTTTCTTAATCTGGGTTTTTTTTAAACTAGGGCCACATACTGTATTAGAAAACACTGTAAAGTGGATTTAGTATAATATGCCATCTTTAATGCATTAGAAGAACTACTCTAAGTTTAGAACATATGTGTTGACAAAAGTCAAAGGAGAAATTTTTTAACATTGAGTCGGTTTACTTTTCAAATTTTCAGTAGAACTAATTTCACTTACTAACTTTTTATGTCCTCACAAGAATAGCCCAAGCCCATGAATGTTAACTTTAAATTTGTAACTGAACAGCATTGAAATTCTGTTGTGTCATTTGACATATTTAATTGCACTGCATGCAAATATAGGTACTTCCTTTTTGCCTAACATTGCAAAATCTTTCTGCCTTTAAAGGAAGAATTAATTTTTCTAATATTATGCAAAGAGAATGTCATGCTAACAATTGCCAAAAAATGTGTGTGTGTGTGTGTGTGTGTGTGTGTGTGTGTGTGTGTGTGTGTGTGTGTGTGTGTGTGTGTGTGTGTGTGTGTGTGTGTGTTTGTGTATGCAGAGGCAGCCCGCTGTTACCACATGTCATCTTTTGTGGAGACCAAAGCATTGGAGCACCTTACAAAGTCACCAGTGGAGTTTGTAGAGTATCCTTGGCAACAGTAACAACAGTTGAACAGCACCATGGCAACCACTTCTGTTCTCTGTGCTCTTTTTCCAGCTTCTGATGCTTCATTTGTGTAGAAACCTGCAATAATCTGTCTAATTTTAATTTCAATAACAGCAGGGTTATCTCAGTCTGTACCAGTGACTTTCAGGTATAATGTTAATAGAATATATTTATACTTAAGCAAGAATATATATATATATATATATATATATATATATATATATATATATCAATGTAGAAGAACTGGTGGTATCTATATTTTATTGTACTTTTTTACATCATGTTTTATTCTTTTTCATTTTAAACCAATCCTGTTATTGTTCTTAACCTTACACTAACCAGATATAATAAATCCCAGTTAAGTCGTATCTATCCTAAAGGAACCAGAGTCGACTCTTCCAACTTCATGCCTCAGCTCTTCTGGAACGCCGGCTGTCAGCTTGTCGCTCTCAACTACCAAACAATCGGTAAGAGCCCCCAGACTGGCCCAGGCAGGTTCCACACTGTCCTGAGCCTCAAATGCCTCCTACTCCCAGTGGTCAGAAGCAACCTAAAACATCAAGCCGGAGGACATCAGAGGCCAAACCAGACAATATTTTAACTATAAAGTATGAGCCAGTTTCAACACAATCACTGAATTAAGTCATAAAGTTGTATTTTTTTTCTCCAGAACATGACACTGATTTTTGACTTGTAGTTTTTACAAAAGTCATACACCATATTTCTTTTTTTTTTAACGTGTTTAAAATGTCTTCACTTTGAGAACACAATTAAGTGACTTCTCATAATGTATTGCTGGACAGGACTTGTATATGTTTTGTAAATACTCCATTATTTGAAGGGAAGGGAGGAAAGTGAATAGGTGTGCAGACCCATGAGAATTGGATGAACTATTCTTGTGCCAAGGTGCATGTTTATCTATTTGAATTTTCATCTTTTTTGTGAGTCCGGCTTTCATATATGCTATATTCTTGCTTGTTTTATTTGTTGTTTTTGCTATTTAGTTTGGGGTTCTCTTCTTTATCTGTTAACATTTGTATCTTTATTCTGTAGTTCATGTAAAAATACGTATAAAGAAATAAGTCCCAGGAGTGGGGCTTTAATCCTTTGGAGCCCTCAACTTATCAAAGATTCATCTTTCTCTCAAGATTTCTCCACCCAGCTGAATCTCTTCATGTTTGAGTACAACGGGCGGAGCGGCTACAGACTGAAGCCTGAGTTCATGAGGCGGCATGACAAACATTTCGACCCCTTCGCAGAAAACACAGTGGACGGCATCGTGGCTAACACCCTCTCTGTGAAGGTACAACTCCAGCTGTTTCCTTAAAACTTGTTGTAACCATACAGCATCCTCAGCATATTCTGTCAGTATAGACACTATCTGATTGTTTCTGCTATGTTTCGCAGGTGATTTCAGGACAGTTTCTGACTGAGCGGCGGGTGGGCGTGTATGTGGAGATAGAGATGTTTGGACTTCCTGCAGACACCAGGAGGAAAGCACTGAAAACAAAAACCTCTCAGAACAACAACGCCGTCAACCCAGTGTGGGATGAAGAGCCAGTTGTCTTCAAAAAGGCGAGATACAGAAGAGAGACTTAGTGCAGGATTTAACAAAATGATAAAACAAACTAAATTCTGACTTTACTTTTCTGACAGGTGATTCTTCCAACTTTGGCCTCTCTGAGAATTGCAGCTTTTGAGGAAGGAGGGAAGTTTATAGGTCATCGGATTATTCCAGTGTCTGCAATAAGACCAGGTAATTACTCTCGTAACATTTAATTCAACCCATTTCATTCATAACTGCTTTTGATCTGAGTATTTGAGGACTACATCTCCCAGGATCTTTGTGGACATTTCACTCTCTCATCACTAGTGTTTACCAGAAAACCTAAATTATTGAGTAATATTGCTGAATCCCTCCTGAACTAGAATTATGACATGTCTTTTGTCTTTCCCTGCAACTTTCCCTGCAACTACTAAAGCTTTATTTTCCTATTCCCCTGCTTAATACATGTATACTTTTTTAATGTATGTTTCCAAATCCACAAAAGTATCTGTTAAATAACACACTGTGCTTTTGAGATGAGGGGACCTCCTGGGTGACACATCCTGGCTCCTGCTGTTTGCAACAGCTGACAGAAATGTGCTGTTGCTTAAAAAAATTCATTCACTACCTTATATCACAATTCTGGAAATGTTTTCAATTCATTTTCTCCGTGCATGACCGACGGGTTGTGCAAAATAAGTTACATATTTATCTTTTGAAACGTTTGCAGCAGATTTTTTTAAATATAGTGCAACCTAACGAAACCAATGGACAATGACATCTGACTCTGTTGTTTTTGTAATTCTCATATAGGGTACCGATACATCGGATTGAGGAATGAGAAAAACCAGTCTTTGATTCTACCAGCTGTGTTTGTCTACATTGAGGTCAAAGATTACGTACCTGACACCTTTGCAGGTACAAATTTCTGCCAAGTCAAACGTCTCCCTTTTAGTGATATCACACACAAAAAGAGGATAATTTCCATGTTTTTTCCCCCATGTTTTTAATTTAAACATGACGAGTGAATTGTGAAATAAAAGGATAGACTGTACAAGTAAAAAATGTAAACAACCCAAAAAAATTTACCAAGGATCCTCAAAAAGGATGGTTTTTTTTTTATCTCAAGTACACAGGTACAAAGAATGGTATACTTTCAGCTTTATGTATCATGTTTCTATATAATTCCTCTGTAGATGTGATAGAAGCTCTGTCCAACCCTATCCGATATGTCAACCTTCTGGAGCAGAGGTCCAAACAGCTGGCAGCTCTGACGCTGGACGATGTGGAGGAGGAAACCCAGGCTGAGGTGAGCCACGTGTCGACAGTAGTTTCTCTTTTTTCATTGTAAGGCAGAAGATCTGGCTCTAACCCTGCTTGGTTTTACTACTCAGGAAGAGGCAGACACCACTGCAGAGCGCAAAAACGACGTTAAATCGGCTCCACTTGAGAATGGACTAAGCCCCGCCCCTGGCCCTACAGGCCACACCCCAATCACCACGACACCCAAAGTCACTACAGCTAATCAGCAAGCAGCGACGACAGGTAGCATTGAAGCACTCATTTTGCATCTTAAATATGATGGTTTAAATGTTTTTTCTAAAGCTCCAGTATAGGCATGTCATTTGTTTGTTGTTATAGATAATCGTTGGTTATGTCTTTTCTGCATTTTAGAAACAGCCAAACCAGTGGCCAAGAGTGAAGATCTGGTATCAAGTGTTTTGATAGGTCAGTATTTTCAGATTGTTTTCAAATCATTGTTTAAATGACCAGTGTAACGTAAGTCCATGACATTTTTCTTATTAGAGATGTAGATGTGAGGAAGTTTGATGTATCAGCCCATGATAAAGCACTTTAATACAATGTATATGAATATAAGAAAGTAAAGATAACAAAAAGAGAGAGTCAAGGTGTAGAGAATGACAGACTGAACAGTATGTTTTATAAGGATGGGTTGCATTAATGCTTGTCATTTATTTTGCATTAAAAAATGCAAGAGCTTTTTCGTGGTGATTGTCTTAAGACCTCCAAGTTTCAACAGAACAGTGAAATAAACACCAGATAAAGGTGTAATTAAACCATGATGCATACCTGTGGTACCAGATGTCCCATCATGCACCATGGAGAGTCTGCAGCAGTCGAAGGTTTACCAGAAGGAGCAGAGACGTCAGTTTAAAGAGCTGAAGGAGTTAGTAAGGAGGCACCAGAAGAAAACCTCTGAGCTCCTCCGAGAGATCAACAACAAGTACAAGAAGACGGCAAGACAGTGCAGTAAGAGCAGGTACACAAGCGTATGATTATATGTCCTCTTCTCCTTTCTTGCTTGGTCTAAAATTGAGTCAACATGAAGATAATCATGTCATTGTATGAGTTAACGAGTGGATTTTCCCAGTGTTTTTTTGCGTAAGTCAAATCTGAGTATTTATTGATGTGCGTTTGTTCATTAGAGGCTCGTGTTCAGAGAGCGAGAAAGAGGAACGGCTCCAGCAGCTGAGAGACGAACAGCAGCAGCAGCTCCTCACTTTGAGGCAGGAGCAGTACTACAGTCAGAAATATCTGCAGAGAGAACACATTAAAATGGTAATTTAAAAAAACTGCTGGTGCTTTAACCCTGAGTCAAAAGTTACCTAGAACTTATTTACTTCTCCCTTTGATTGGCAGTTGATCATAATAGAGTTATGAACATTAGAAACCTAAAGTCAAGCTTTCTGCAGTCATTATTTTACTTTAGCCCAGAACACGATGATCAGCGGCTTAAAAACAAAGTTTCTGTTTCAGCTGACAGAGCGGCTGAGCAGTCTGGCTGAGGAAAGTCACAACACACAGATGAAGAAACTCAAAGACATATCTGACAAGTGAGTTACCAAATCTTTGACTAAAATTACAGAAGAATGTCAAAACTCTGTGGGGAACTACGAAAAGATCACCTTTGTTAAGTGCCGCCTTCATAACATGTCTTGATAAATGCTACAGTGCCCACTTAAGAGATAATAACATGACATGATAAATATTTTTAAAGGTTAAAAAAAAAAAATGTTTTTTTGAACGGCCTGTAAAACTGAGATGTAGCAGACAACGTTGACTTTGACAGGGAAGCCTTTGGATTACATAAAGGTAATCTTTTTTACTCTGATGTTCTTTTATTGCACAAGGTTTCACTTTCTTAAACAACTTTAATGTTGTGCTTTTTATTTTGTATTTTGGAGGAGACTTCATAGAATTGTTCAGGGTCAGCAAGCAAGCTTCTTTTGCCACTTTTTTCTGTTAACACACATTTTTAGACTACCAGTTGCTAGACATACGACCATTTTCAACGTTTTAAAATACCTCTGTGTTGTATTTTTTTTACATTTTTACCTCCTACTACACTTGCTCTGATGTTTTCTTTACTGCCGTAGGGAGAAAAAAGAGCTGAAGAGGCAGATGGATCGAAGGAGAACAGAGAAGATCAACCAAGCGAAGACCAAAGAGAAACATCTGGCTGAAGAGTATGAACCATAAACACACACACACACACACACACACACACACACACACACACACACACACACACACACACACACTGACACAAATTCACTGCGCCCTAGACACCTCCTGTAGCTCCTCGTCTACTTCCAGCACTAATCCATCCAGCTAGACTTGTCAGGAGAGAAAAAAATATTCTGCTCAACATCAACCCCCATCTGACTGTGTGTTTCCAGGGAGAAGATTGAGATCAATAAGTCCTACGTCAATGAAGTCGTCCAGAACATAAAGCGGGTGAGAGGAGGATGGAGTATGTTGGCCTCCGTGGGGGAGGATTGTTTTGTTTTTAAACCTGCAGGGACTGCTATTTAAATGTAATGCCTCTATTTCTGCCTTTTCTCTCTGCCTGCCTGTTTTTCTTTCTCCAGCTGGAGGAAACTCAAGCAAAGCGCCATGATCAGCTGGTGGAGCAGCAGAACGAGCTTCTGCAGCAGATACAGGACCTGAAACCAAAGGTAAACTACCAATTTAGATTATATTTTAAGCTTGCAGTTAATGTCTGTACATTACAAAGTTCCTTTATTTCCCGCTTCAGTCACTAGATGCACTAAATGGTGAAGAAATGTCTTGTTTTGGGGTGTCCAAGCTGTTCTCTGCGATCTGTGCCTCCACTCCCACACATTTTGAGATCGGTGCTGACGTTAACGCAGGGTGCTGAGTGATGTAACCAGCCCCCCTGGCTGCCATTTTGGAGCTGTTAAACTGTTGGCAGCATGGTTGACAACAGCTGGTTGCCATTCTGAATGTACCTGTCTCCCCAGTAGCAAATAAACAAGGGTGAACTGTTTCATGTGCAGCAACTTAAACTGGTTCTGGGTTTATAATCTATGGTTAGTGTGTAGCAGGAGCAATGTAAATTGAATGTAATCAGTTATCAGTGTCAACTGCTTTTCTTCCACTCTGTCTCAAGTTGCAAGGAGTGGTGGAGGCTGATTTCCAGGAGAAGTTCCAGTGTTTGCCTGGAGAGATCGAAGACTTCCTGCAGGACAGGAAGGCAGAAGTGAGAGGTCACAGCAAGTCCCGCCCATCCACACCGCACGAAACTCTGTCAGAGGAGGACTGAGGGGTGAGGGAGCATGCGGAGGGAGAATGGATGGTAGCAGAGAGAGGATAGTGCTAAAGAGCCAAACACAAGGACGTAAGAAGGATAAAAAAAAGAGAGAAGATTTTAAAGACTGTTACTTTTGTTTTTAATGGAAGAACACTTTGATGATTGTCTTTGAAATTGAATTCAAGCATGCACTTTGCTGTTTGCCAGCATTCAGTCAGAACTCATTTAACCTTAGTTTCTGTTTATTTGAAGGACAACTACCCGACAGTTTGTACTGCATGAACAATCTATCTCTCTATCTATCTATCTGTCTATCTATCTAACTATCTATCTATCTATCTATCTATCTATCTATCTAACTATCTATCTAACTATCTATCTATCTATCTATCTATCTATCTAACTATCTATCTAACTATCTATCTATCTATCTATCTATCTATCTAACTATCTATCTAACTATCTATCTATCTATCTATCTATCTCTCTATCTATCTATCTATCTACTATCTATCTATCTATCTATCTATCTATCTATCTATCTATCTATATATATATATATACATACATCTGTCTGTATTTTATATGCACATGGATAGACTCTACAAAAACAATTTCTCAGCACTTTTCTGTTTTTTTTTAGTGAGTAAGCTATGGTGGTTGCAAGGACAACTAAACTCAATTCACATTTACTTTATTTACATAGCTCTAATCATATAAACTCTAACTGAAACTAAAACTAAGACCGAAAAAAAATGCTACAACAAAACAACAACAAAAATCGACATTAGGTTAAAGCTCCTGTGAGGAACTTTTGTTTCGGCGCCTCCTGCGGACAAAGGGGTACAACTTATCTCTTTGCTGATCTTGTCCCGTGAGCCTTTATGTATAATGTCAGTGATGTTTTCCGGAGAAAAATCTCATCCTTGTTCACTTTGACAGTCAATAATAACGCACATTATGAATCTGTTCCTTGGAAAATTCTAAGCTAAGGCTGAAACTAAGGTTTCAGCAGCAAGCAGGGAATTGCCTCGCTTGACAGCTACCCTTTGGCAGCAGTTAGACTTAAAACATAACAACTGTATATAGAACAAATACATTTTGTCCCTGATGTTTGCTTTTATTAGTCATATAGAGGCTTCGGTATTATAACCACATAAAAACTCCTCACAGGTCCTTTAACTTCCTCTGTGTAACACTGACAGAGCTCACAGCCTAATACCAGGAGGCAGTGACCGTCTCTTCTAGTTCCATGGGGCACTGCTGGTACCTTCACTATATCATTATATTATAAGTGCTCTGTCTTTATACTCTCGTAGATGCACACATTGTACTCTGCTCGGTTTTGCTGGATGTCCGTGGGTTCATGGAAGGAGAACTTACTCCTGTCTTAATTTTTTCTGCACCTGAATTTATCCACCAGTTGTTGCTGAGCTCAAAATGAGAAAAGTGAATTTCATTTTACATTTCAAACCATTGCAAGACAGTGAGATATCAACATAAACAAGAGTACTGTGAATGTAGTTTACTTTTCAGGATTAAGGAAGATACACATTTTATATTAATGGTTTTATGTTGCATTAATGAATAAGCTGTCATGTATAATTTAATTCAAGGGTATTTTATTGACCTGTTTTTATACAAGATAGTTCCTCTATACAACAAGTCATTTAGATAACAGAGGATAAAACAACAGGATCATCACAGACTTGTCTTTAAATTGTATTTTATACGTTTTATTCTGTGGTCCACCAACTGGATCATTCATTCAGTTCTCAACAGTTTGATTATGCACTAATCTATTTATTTATTTATGCATATTCTTTGGGGGAAAATGTAATCTCAATTTTTGTTAAGTTATTTTTATTAAACATAATCTAGCATGACTGTTAGATAATTTTTTTGACAAATTGACTTTTTCTTCACCGAGGTTCGAAGAAATGAGGAGGATTATCATCCCAGATATGTTAAGGGATGAGGTAATAAAATCTTGTCAATGTACCTGAATTTGGTTATTTGTAAAAGAATCCTTTTCTGACTGGTTTCAGTGACATCCCACCGGGTCCCTCGTTACTGCTGCACTAACGCTGGGGCAGATAGATCTCCTGTTAGGTGTGGAGAAGCCTCAAGTCTGCATGATTTCTTTGTTTTGATGTGAAAGCTGTTTTGACATTCTGATGATCTATTTATTTGTTACTTGTTATTTTCATGATTATCAGTAAGGAACAAGGGTGAGAATTCTTTATATACCTGTTTACGAGTGCTAAGTTTTGTACAAAAAAATTCAAATGTACAATGGATGCCGCTCATCACTCTTTGTACAGTGATCTTCCAGAAAATATTGGTGGAATATTTTCCATGTTCCTGCTTTTCTTCGACATCTATGGTTTAAGCTGTGTTCAACAACCTTTTTGCAGGGAACCGATAAAGATCGAACAATCTTGGCCACGGCCTGCACCTGACCTCTTAAAGGTAGCCTGCACTGCAATTTCATTGGCAATATTTTAGACTAAGCTGCTAACTCTGTTTGCTAACCTTAGAGTACCTCAATATTCTGTCACCACTTCAGATGAAATTATCTGTTTGGATCATGTTTAAGTCTGCAGAGTGGCTGAGGTTCTCCAACAAAATGACTTGTTGAACGCACACTTTGCTTTAATGATCAAACTGAGCATGCTTTATCGTCTTGGATTTCTCTGCGAGGTGATTTGTTTCTTGGTTTTTCTGAATGCTATTTTAAATCAAAGACTATTAAAAATATTTGATCAAAAAATTAGGTGTGATCAGTTTATGTTCCTGGTTCTACAAAGATCTTCACTTTTTAACTTTAAAGAGGAGATTACTGCTGTTGTCTGTCCCATCAACACAAACCATTTTCCTTTTAGACAAAACTTGCTGGTGGTTGTGTTTTTGTGTGTGAGCAGGATAAGGTGGTACTTCACAGAGACGCAGTATTCTGTCACCGTGGAGGAGGGTTTTCAAGCTGAGACATGCTCTGTCTCTTCACCGTTTGACTTGTTGGAAGTTACAGCTTTTTGATGTCATTCACAGTTTGACATGTTGATGAATAGTTCTGTGTACATGATCAAAGTGCCTTTTTCTTGCTTGCTGTCGGTGGCCTTCTGTTTGTCTGTTTATGTACCTTGCCAAAACACTTTTTTTGCCTCATTGCATTTTCCTGCCCTTCTTATTATATTCTTGCTACAAGTAGTTTATTTAAAAGCAAAACTCTCAAAGATATTGTGTTTTTTTTGGCAACACCTGTGGTATAAAATTGATATTTACAAGTAACCATTTTAGATTAGATAGATTAAGTTTGCTTTGTTAATTGTAGACTTTGTTTCATGATCATCTCTGGTCATCTGTATTTTCTTTGTTTGTTTGTGAATTGTAGCTGTTGTAGTCTTGCAACACAGAGAACAGAGGAATAGTCCCCCATTTTACACACAGGTGAGTTCAATTCAGTCCATTGCCCTTTTTCAATGTCTATTATTGCTGCTTTGATAAGGTCATACTTCATATATGTCTGTGTTACAGCTTGTAATTTGTTTTTACACCTCAGAAGGCAAGCTTTAATAAACCTACCTGAGTGGTAGAACTCAGCATTAATTTGATGCTCAAACATTCATAGGGCTGCAAGTAACAAATAATTTTGTTACTTTTTGTTTGCCAAAATCAAACTGAACCAAGGCAAGGCCAATGAATACACATGCAATGTTACAGACTTTAGATTTTACAGGCAAATTTAGCGCAAAGAAATAAATCCAAAGCTGTTCTGGGAAACGAGGAAGGCTAACTGTATTTATAGTGATTCTCAAAAACATGTTACAAAGTGCTTTACAATTAAACAAGCAAAATAAATACACAAATCGACGAATACTTAAGCAAATAATAAGGAACATAAACAGGGATTTGAAATAAAACAAAATACATGTGCTCTATCAAAGGACAAGCGGCCAGTAAAGAGATCCCCCATCCCAACCACAAAAAGAAAAAAGGGAAAGCAGTAAGAAGAGTGTGCAAAGAGAATTAGAAAGACAATATGGTCTCAGTGTCTCATTATTAAAGATACATCACAATCCACTCACACTTTGACAATGTGAACTAATTGTATAGCCTTTCGTTTTATATGATAGTCTACTAGTATACTTTACTTTAACATAAGAAATAGTTCCTATTAAAAACATGTTGCCACTGAGGTCTGTTATAAAAAAAAATACAGCACTGAGGTACGCATGCATTGGTTGTTTTTATTAAGTTGTCCTATAAAAAAAATCACTAAACTCCCATCAATCTGAGACGAGGCTGTACTAAAAAAAATAGATTACTCACAACTGTGAGACATGAAATGTATCACCAAAGCGAAGTGAGGATACGCTTTTTTCCCCTTATTTTACGCTGCTGTTCCTGTTTTACCCAGCAGGTGGTAGCAGCAAGCCGAGAAAGACCTTTCTCTCTCTCCGTAGAGCAAGAGCCGTAGCCTCCCCAGCATCAGCACCAGCCGATACGTCTCTCTCCTCTCCTCCTCCTCTCGGCTGTTCTGCTGCTTTCCTCTCCGTCCACTGCGGAACATCGGCCTGTTTTGCTCCCATCGCTCCTCCAGCGGCAGACCCAGCTCGCCATGGACAACTCCGGCAAAGAGAAGGAGGCCATGCAGCTGATGGCTGAAGCCGACAAGAAGGTCAAAGCGTCCGGATCCTTCCTCGGGGGAATGTTCGGGTAAAAGATGCTCTCATCCTCTGTGTCTGTTTACCTCGCTCTCTCTTTTTTCTTTTTTTCTTTTTTTTTTTTTTTTTTTTTTTAGCATCGACTCGTGCATCTAGGGCCTACTAAAGCCTGCAGGGTTCTTCTCCTGCTTTTCTTCACGGAGAAATCTCGCTAATCTATTTTATAATAAGCCTCTGACAATGCAATTGTATCTTCTGCAGCGCTAAATGATGGGCTTTAAAGGCCTGATTAACCCCTGAACTCTCGTATTTCGTATCTTTTGGGCTTTTTCCTACTATATTTTCCATATATATAAGCCTCCTTTATGAGCTTTAACGTGACATTGTGTCCTCTGGAGGATTTGTCATATAGCGCACCTTTTGACGCCTGAATATGAACTGTCATCGCAGATAATGAGGCCTGCATGTCGTGGCCTGCCACGCAGGAATATGTTAATGTGGCATTTCGCCTCCTCTCCTCCTGCTTGTCGCTGCTGCTGCTGCTGCTGCTGCTGCTGCGGAGAAGTGAGCGGGCTTTCACTGAGCGTGAGACCGAGGCAGGAGATGCAGGGAGGCGGATAGAGGAGACAGACAGGACTGGGTGCGGGGAAATCAGTCGGTGGTGGTATGGTGATGCGGGGGCAGGGTTTTTTTTT